TCATTAAGTGAATTGTAGCAGCTGGTACATAATGTATTTAGATACAAGTCATGTGCTTATGTACAGTGAACTTGTTATTGTGGATACTCTAAAATAAGGACACCTCTATAATCAGGACAGGTAGTACCAGTCCTAATATAATAGTAATGTGTATTAATGAACCTCTGAAATAAGGACAGGTTCATAATCAGGAGCTAGGGTATTATTGGGTCCCAAAGTATCGGTAATAGATATAGGTTTGACTGTATATGTATACTTGTAAATGTACCTGCTTTGGTGCTTGTGTTTAAGGAGAGTGGTATGGTATGGTGTGGTGTGTGTGTGTGTGTGTATGTTGTCAACATTGTTGTTTTGTTTTGTGGTTGGTGTGACTGTCCATTTACAAACATCATCTTCTCTTTATTTGCATTGTGTCACTTGCACTGGCTCAAATTCCCCCCCTTTGTAGCAGCAGCTTTGTAATAATTACCACACACAGCCACATGCTAATAGATTAGTCTGTTCCGTCTCTCACTCTCTCTCTCTCTCTCTCCCTCTCTCTCCCTCTCTCTCTCTCCTCTCTCTCCTCCTCCCTCTCTCTTCTATAGATGGTATAGATGGTGCTGCTATGTCCTCTTTAAGAAGGGGCAGTACCAATGCAGGTGGTTCCTATACTCTATCACCAGGTGACCCCTCCCCCTTTCAGAGAGGAGCACGTACCACTAGAGTAAGCACATATTAACGAGTTTTTTATGGGTGGAGCTATGGGCGTGGTTTAACTATATCATTAATTGTTGGTGTATTGTTAGAGTTTTAGAGATCGTGTGAAGTCTTTGAAGGCGCCCAAGAAAGTCCCTCAGAGACAACAGGCAGAAACTCACTCGTCTACCAGCGGGTAAGAGAGCAACTACATGTACATTTTATTTTATTGTTCCTTTTTTATTATTACTATTATTCTTATTAATATAACTTTTATTATTGTATTATTATGCCTCATTTCAGAATTTTCTCTCTTTAATCTTTCTTCTTCTCTTTATTCTTCTAGTGATCTCATTCTCCCTAGAATGAGAGGTGGTCGTTCACTTGATAACCTTCACAGGGTCAGCATGGCTGAAGGAGGGGGAGAGAATCAACCCAGTCTAGGGGAACCTGGAACATTTGTAAGTCTATAGGGGGTCTGGTATTATTGACACATTCTAGGAGTCTGGGTCTGCTATTATTTATGCATTGTAGGGGGTCTGACATTATAAGCTTAATTCTCATGGGTCTTTGTATTATTAGAGGTTCTGGTATTATTGACGCATTCTAGGGGTCTGATATTATTTAAGTTCTTAGTGGGGGTCCTTTGTTGTTTAAAAATCAGTTATTTTTTAGAATAAATATGTACATGTACACAAGTTTGTTGTTTGTGCTCTTATTGAAACTGAAAGTCGGCTAGTTTTGTTTTTTGATAAACTTTGATGGTAATCTTTGGTCAACAGTTAATACACACAATTAGACTAACAATAACAACAACAAATTATTTTAAATAACTATTATTATTATTATTATTATTATTTAAAAATTGCAGGTTGATTTGGCAACAAAAGGTACTCTAAGCATTCAGCTGGTTCATCCTAGCGTATCGCCGAGACACAGCTGCTTCAGACTAATAACTGACAGTGATATTATATATGCGTCTTGTGGATCTGCTGAAGAACTGGATAGATGGGTTACTAGGTGAGTGGGTGGGGTTGTAGGCGGAGCCTAGGCAAGACTCACTTTGATATATTTTGTTAACAAAACAATCGTATACGTATACATGTACATGTATATAATTGTGCTGTATTTTTAGTGAATTTAAGTATATATAGTAATTTGAAATAAAGCCAGGGTTTTTTACATGTGCGTATGTATATACATGTACATGTACGTACATGTACATGTGCATGTAAAATATTGGATGTACATGTAACTGCCAAGTACTATAGTTCCTTGCCAAAAATAACCTTGTATTCTACTCTTCTCTTTCTCCCCCCTCTCTCTCTCCCCCTCTCTCCCTCCCTCTCTCTCTCTCCCCCTCTCTATCTCCCTCTCTCTCTCTCCCCCTCTCTACCTCCCTCTCTCTCTCTCCCCCCTCTCTCCCCCCTCTCTCCCCCCTCTCTCCCTCCCCCTCTCTCTCTCCCTCCCTCTTTCCCTCCCCCTCTCTCTCTCCCTCCCCCCCTCTCTCTCCCTCCCTCCCCCTCTCTTCCTCCCTCTCTCTCTCTCTCTTTCTTGTAGCCTAAACAAGTTTCATCGGCCAAATCGTGATCACCTAAGACGTCTCAATACCCAGGTTTTCATTTGGATCTTTGAGGCCCGTCACCTCCAACCCAAGAAGAAATACTATTGCGAAATATACTTGAACAACCTCCTCTACTCTCAGACCTGCTGCAAACCAATGTCGGACATTTTGTTTTGGGGAGAACCCTTTAATTTTGAGTGAGTAATTAGTATTACATGTACATGTACACGTATGAAGGAAAATTATTATTGTAACCTTTGGAATTTTTAATTTTAACTGCATGTACATAATTTTTGCTGGATTTATGATTTTTTACAAGTCCAGTTTATGTCACATAGTAATCTTTGGCACAAAATTGTAGCTTTTATTGTGAACTTTTTTTGCCATTAAAACTGACTAAATTAAGCTATATAATTTACATCATATTCTTATTTATCCTTTCTTTCACCTTCAGGGAGCTACCAATGGTTGGCTCCATACAAATAAGACTCATCAAGGAAACCTACAAGAAGAAAGACTGTATCACTGAACTGATTGGGAAGATTGACATACCAACACTAGTACTGGAGAATAACAGCCAAATAACTGAGAAATGGTATTATAGATACATGTATTTATGCACGTACTTTTGTACATGTACATAAATCTATACGTATACAGTACATGTACATGTACATCTATGCCTACTATACTGGTTGTATTACATGTACATGTACATGTGTATTATTTATATTTATTATGCTGTACTGTGTATTGTTTTTAGGTTTCCAGTTACTCTACAGCAGACTCCTAAAGCACAATCAAGTCAGAAAGAAAACCCTTCAATTAGAATAAAGATACACTATCAGGTTCACACGCATTTGACATACACATGTAGTGTATGCATGTACACGTATATGTACATGTACGTGCATGTATAGATGTATATGTACAATATAATTCCATGCTATGAAGTTTGTATTGTCTTATTTCTAATCTAATAAGTCCCTCTTTCTTCCCTCCCTCCCTCCCTCTCCCCAGGTTGTGTCTATCTTACCATTGAAGCATTACAATGGTCTATTAAAGGTACGGTATACATGTACATGTACATGTTGGTGTACGTGTTTACACTTGTATAAGCATTACATTGTCTTATGTAATGTCTTCAATTTGGTTTCAGTTTAAATGTTTGTGTGTGCATTCCTTCAATTAGTTTAATATAAACACTGTCTATTGATGCTTATTACTTATACATGTACATGAACATGTCATTATGTGCTACATGTATACACGTACATGTACACATGTATGTTACGTAATCTTACATGTACACGTACATGTCACTTTGGTTCTTATTTTATTATTAGTATATTACGACTAACTTTGCCTCGTTGTGTGAGGTTCTTGAGCCAGTCATATCGGCGAAGGTGAAGGATGAGATAGCTCAGACTTTATTGAAGATACTGGAGCACAGTGGGAAGGCAAAGGAGTTCCTGTGTGACATTGTAATGGCTGAAGTTCAGCACGTTGGTAAGGAAGAGAGAAAGAGATATACATGTACATGTACATTTATAAGAATTTCCCTGTACTATAGTACAGGAGGGTTGTTGGCCAAATTTTACCAAAATTGAAAGAGAATTCTCCATTTTTATAAGTTTTTCTGATACATATACATGTTCTTATGGTGTGTAGAAAGTTTGAGCTGATTCCAATCAAATTTGGATTTTATATAAATTTTTTAACTTGCTCCGAAATTGGGTCAAAGTCCCTGTACTATAGTACAGGAGTGTTGGCCAAATTTTGCCAAAAATTTCAAGTAGAGAATTCTCATTTTTAATAAAATTTCCTGATACATATACATGTTCTTATGATGTGTAGAAAGTTTGAGCTGATTCCGATCACATTTGGATTTTTTACTAATTTTTAAAGTTACTAAAATTGAACTACATGTATAACTTAATTACTTTATGCTTGAGTAGCATACATGTTCATGTATTTAATGTCACTAAATTTACAGTACATCCGTACCTGTACAGTTTATGTCAATAAACTGTACCTTATGTCAATATTTGTTTATATATGACAATATTGACATGTACATGTACACATGTATTTTGTTTTCCCAACGGGAAATTTAATGTACAATATCAACACTATTATTTATTATTGTATTTATTTATTTATTTATTTATTTATTTTTAGATAATGAGAATCTGATATTTAGAGGTAACACATTTGCAACCAAAGCTGTTGATACATATATGAAGATGGTTGGAGAAGCTGTAAGGAATACATGTACATGTACATGTACATGTACATGTACATCTTGATCTACATTATTTACATGTACATGTACATGGACACGTTGATACATGTACATGCTTTGTGCATGGTAGAAAGTTTGAGCCAAGTTTTCAAGTTATGAGCATCTTAAAATTAAGCAAAGTTTTAGTACATGTGTACGTAATTTTAAAATTTACATGTACTTCTAAATGTATTATTTATTAACTTATGAAAATGAAGAATTTTCTTCTTTTCATTTTTGGCGAAATTTGGCCAATGCTCCTGTACTAGTGTACAGGGATTTTGGGCCAATTTTTTAGGAACTTTAAAAATTTGTAAAAAATCCAAATTTGATCGGAATCAGCTCAAACTTTCTACACAACATAAGAACATGTATATGCATAGGGGTAGGAACAAACTAAAAGTTGGGGGGGCTAAGGTATTATTTTTACAATTGATCATTAATACATAGCATGTACTGAAATTAATACTGTCCAAAATATTGGCGTCTATGCTCATTAAATGTAACAAATTCCTTTGCAATGTCCTCAATGTGTAAATCATGTGTATATTCTTTGTGTGTATGCAAAATAACTACATGATTAAGACATTGTGGAGTGCAAGTAGTTTTTAATCTCCTTAACGTTGAAAATGTATGCTCAGCTGAAGCTGATGTTAACAGAGTTGTTAAATAAAGAAGTAGAAGCTTGTGTATTTCTGAAAAAACTAATAAAAGTGTGTTCTTAGAAGTTAAACTAATGTATTAATTGTTTTACAAAACGAATCATCACACAATATGCACACATATAAGGATTACCTAAACTAAAGTCTATAGTGTTGATAATAGTAATACATGTACATCACTTAAAGTTGGAGGGGCTAAGCCCCCCTTCAGTGAAAGTTGGGGGGGCTTAAGCCCCTCCTGCCCCCCCTGTTCCTACCCCTATGTGTATATGTATCAGAAAATGTTATAAAAATTGAGAATTCTCTACTTGACATTTTTGGCAAAATTTGGCCGACGCCCCTGTACTATAGTACAGGGACTTTGACCCAATTTTGGAACAACTTTAAAAATTCGTAAAAAATCTAAATTTGATTGGAATCACCTCAAACTTTCTACACAACATAAGAACATGTATATGCATCAGAAAATGTTATAAAAATGGAGAGTTCTCTACTTGACATTTTTGGCAAAATTTAGCCGACACCCCTGTACTATAGTACAGGGACTTTGACCCGATTTTTGAGCAACTTTTAAAATTCGTAAAAAATTTAAATTTGATCGGAATCAGCTCAAACTTTCTACACAAATTAAGAACATGTATATTATGTATAAGGAAATGTAATAAAAATGGAGAATTCTCTCCTTTTAATTTTTGACAAAATTTGGCCAAAGACCATTAAAAAATTTTAACTTCTTCTAAAATTATTTTATTTATTAGTATTTGCGTGAAACTCTGAAGCCGTTCATTAATGATCTCCTTGAGTCAGAGGATGATTGTGAAGTGGATCCAACCCGTCTCCCACCCACGGCCTCCCTCACCAACAACCAACAGAACCTAACGAGACACGTAGAGAAGGTGTGGTTTGATATACTGTCGTCATGGACACGGTTTCCAAGGTAACAGGAAAGAGAAAGGAGAAGGGGAGAGAGAGAGAGAGAGTCGATTCACATTATGTACATGTACATGTATTTTTTCTCCTTCAGTGATCTTCGTGATACCCTGTATGGTATAAGACAGAGGTTTGGTTCTGAGAAAGAAGAGGCCTGCTTCAAGCTAATAAGTGGCTCAATCTTTCTAAGATTCTTCTGTCCAGCCATACTATCACCGAGCCTTTTCCAGCTCTGTCAAGGTGGGTGTGGCTAGTAGGTGGGGCTTGAGTGTACTTAATTTTTAACCCTTTAGAGTATCCGGATGAGAAAGTATCGCGAAAGTTGACGCTGGTGGCAAAAGTTATACAAAACTTGGCAAATTTTGCAAGGTGAGTTTTTGTGTCATGTGATGGTCATGTGATGTACATGTACATGTAGGTTTGGCGTCAAAGAGGAGTACATGTGTTTCATGAACGATTTCGTTGGACGAGAGATTCAAAACATGAAACAGTTCATTGATAGAATATCAGTAAGTGTAATCTAGTATATCTTTGTATATTCTTGCATAACTCAGTAATTTGTGTATAATTTATAGCATACTCCAGTATAACTCAGTATATTTTTTAAATATTTCCATAGTCTCCAGTTCCAGACAGTTATCCAGTGGTAGAATGGGGTCCATTTCATATCGACTTAGGACGGGAGTTATCGATAGTTTCTAATCTTTTATTAACACTAATACCTTCACTAAAAGAAGTAAGAACAATAATTATAATAATAAACGTCCATGTTAATAGCAAAAATATGAAAAGTGTATGGTAATACATGTACATTTAAAGTCTGGTTTACATTCGCCATTAAATACAACATAAATGAATGCAAGATAAAATTAAGTTTGGCAAATTTTGCGTGAAGTTGACGTCAACTTCAAAGCGTTTTTGAGTCAGTGCCTACACAATTTTGATCGTTTCGTTGAATGTAAACCTATACACATGTAGCTTTATAGTATAAAGTATCATTTTAAATTTTCTTGCTGTAGGAGGCTTTGGCCCAGGTTTCAGAGCTCCCTGGTATATTGGATGGGATCAAGCAGACGATGGAGGCATCCACTGAAGATCCTTTCACTGCTACCTTTGAAGCTCTTCGTGTCATGCAATCCACCATCTCTAAATTCACACCACAGAGCCTAGCGGTATGGAGGGGTATGGGAATGAGGAAGGGGGTATGGGAATGAGGAAGGGGGTATGGGAATGAGAAAGGGGGCATGGGAATGAGAAAGGAGGTATGGGAATGAGGAGGTGATATGGGAATGAAAGAGTGTAGAAATGAAGCAGTGTAGGATCGAGAATGTTAAAAATTTTGTGCATACACCATACATTGAAATTAGAAGTTAATTTTGATCTCTTTTGATCTTTCTCCCTCCCATAGTCTCAGTCGTTAGGTTCTGCTGAGTTTATGACTAATTCCGCCACCACCTCACCAGTTACTGAGAGACGGCCTCGCTCTCACGCCCTCCTCTCTGTCTCCCCCGCCCACTCAAGACAGACCAGTGCACCAATAGAGTTTACTGGAAGTGTTAACTCATTGCCCTCACCTTCACATTCGCGTAAGTGCATTTTAGTATAACTTTGTATATTCCTGTATACTATAAGCATATAATGCATGTACAGTACTTTATTTTAGTATAACTCTGTATATCATGGTACATGTACATATACATGTACGTGTAGCTTGTTTTGTTGTGTATACCCCTTGCATATTGATTGTTTATGTCAGTATATTTCAGTATATTTTTGAGGGCGTCACTGCAAGCAACAGTCTGACTACCCAGGTTACAAAAATTATGCTTCCGAAATCTCTTGATAGCGATTCCGCAATGAGACCCTAATAAGAATCCCACTGTGCCACTGACGACAAAAGCCCTTTTATGACTGAATGGGTGCCTTTGGTCTGTTTATATAGCGAGGAATTGTGTTAAGGCTATTGTGGGTTGTACTTTAATGATATTCATAGACAGTGTTGTTACTTCCTGTTAAATTATTCATTATTGTTTCTTTGTGTCCTTTCATTTTTGTTGTGTCTTTTCTTTTCTATATTTAAAGAAATGTGTACATGTACATGCATATCCTCCTACATTTATTATTTCTACATGTTTTATGTAAT